CTGAATAAGATAAAAGGGGCAGGAAGACACTGTGTAGGTCATTTTGTTGCTTTTGCTGCTGTGTGGGTGCCATGAGCAGTTTCTCCTCTGATGCCACCCTGCTTTGGAGCCAGCTGATTTTGGACTGAAACCTCTACGAACTGTAAGCTAAATAAACCCTTTCCCCTTTAACTTTAGGTATTGGGTATTTTGTCTCAGCAATGAGAGAAAAGTACTAACACAATGGCCTTGTATGGTGACTTAATTTTTCAACTGTATTTGTCTTCAAAACAGATAACCCTTTAGATGGCAGTGGCTATCCTGAGACTTCTGGGTACCAAAGCATCTGCTCCAAGCAGGTGTTCAGCATTTGTTAAGTGAACATGCAAGTGCAGTACGAGTCTTTTACTACTGAGACAAATAGGGAGGCTGAGCCTATGCGTGTTAACTTTCTGACTTTGTGACAGAGTACCTGAGAATAATGGAGGAGAAAAGGCTTACTTTGCCTCATGGTTTCTTTACTCCATGCTCAGCTGACTCCATTGCTTTTAGGTCTGTGGTGAGGCAGAAATATTGTAGTGAAAGTATATGGTAGACTCACTTCATGGCAGCCAGGAACCAGAAGCCAGGAGAGCCAGAGAGGAAAAGGCCAGCGACAAGATACAGTCACCAAGGGTGACCCATTTCCTTCAACTCAGTCTCACCTCCTAAATTCCCATTCTCTTCTAATAATGCCATCAAATTATGAATCTGTCAATGGATTAATCCACCGACGAGGTTAGAGCCCTTCTAAAAGCCCCACCTCTGAACATTGCTGCATTGGAAACTAAACCTTCAACACACGACCCTCCTGGGGGACACTTAAGATTCAAACCATAGCTGGGCATGGTGATACACACCTGTAATTATAATTCTAGTACTCAGGAGGTTAAGGCAGGAGGAGCACAAGTTCTAGGCCAGCCTGGGCTACATAGTAAGACCCTGTCCAAAAAAAAAAAAAAAAAAAATCCATAATACTGCGTAAAAGTCAATTCAGCAACAGTTGAATTAATGTTTGTAAGTGATTGCACATAAAATTATCCCTATTTCTAAATCCCCAGTGGTAGCAGAGATAAGGTCAGCTTTATTGTGTCCACCCCTTAAAGACTTAGCTACTCATCTCCCCTGAAAAGGATGAATGCATATAGGGCACCTCAGACTGGATGTTAATTACAGACAAACACTCCCTGGCACAGACCCCACAAAAGTAAAGACTCTTCTGTGCCTGATAACCCCAGGTCAGTGCCTGGCCCTGCAGATCAGAAAGAGTTTGCTCCCCAGGGGAAGCCATTTAGGGGCAAAGCCAATTGGTATGGGCAGAAGGTTGACTGTTCTTGTGATATGTATTCATTTTGGAGGTTTTAATTAACTGGTGAGATTGTGCTGAACCAGCCCCACTCTGGAGCCAGCAGAGAGAGACAGGCAAGAAGTTTGTAGGTCATAGTTGGAGCCTTAGAAAACAAGCAGGAGACAGTCTTGGACAAGCTCTGGGGTGAAGAACCTCCACCCAGAGAACTCGTGTTGCTGTCCTGTCCAGGGCAGAGAGGATCTTTCCAAACTGGCTGCTCCATTCCTTGTGCTCCTGAGCAGGTCACTTACAAGCAGCCAGTTGGCTGGATATGGGTCAGACATATTTTGCCTGACCTAAAGGGTACTTTTTTTTTTGGTACTGAGAATTGAACTCAGGGACTCCCCCAGGCAGGTACTGTGCTGCTGAGCTACACCCCTGGCCCCAGAGTGCTTTTTAAAACATTTGAATTAGTTGCCAACTTTTAAAAAAATCAGGAGATTTTATATGAAAGTCTGGATTTCTGGCTTCTAACAATAAAGCCACTTGGCCATGCTGGGCCCTCTCTCCATAGGGAGATGATCCTCTTTGGGGCACCCCCACAGGCCCATGCACCCGTTTTCTGTCTGCTCAGTCCTGCTTATTTTCCCTGATGTGAAATGTTACAACTTTGGGGTGGAGGTAGGATCAGGTAGGAGCAATCCTCAAGTCATTGCAGCTCTAGTCTCTCTGATGTCTCTGGCTGTGGAACAGGTGGCCCAGAGCTCCACAGGCCCATGACAAGGGACAAGGCAGTTTTTCATTTGTTCAACACTAATCCCTAAACTTTCTGCCACTAAGTGCTCTAGAGGGATGGGCATGGAGACACCATGGCATGGGCATGTGATGCCATGCTCTGAGTGAGGGTAACTGGAGTTCACTGAGCACTTTCAGCCCGTCACTTTCAGCCTCCTAACAATCCTTGTAACAACCAACACTGGGATAGTCACTAACATTTACTGACACACAACTAGTGGCAAAATTGACTGACTCCTGAGCCTCCTCTCTCCATCTGGTGTTGATAGCTCTAATAGGGTCCCTCAGGTCATTTGAAGGTCAAAACACATTCCTATTGTGGGTTCAGTAAGTTTTCCAAAATCATACTTTTATCTGGAATGCCATAAGATGATTTGGCAAGCAGTGTGCAATAGTTTGGTGTATGTTCTGCAGGATGGGCGCAGAAGAAGCAAGTGTGCCCTGGTTCTTTGTGTACCTAGAGGTGGGGGGAGGGCTCAGTTCTTTGCCTGGGGGTTGAGGGGGTCCGGCAAGTCCTTGCACCCCCATGACTTGAGAGGAGCAGGTTATAGACTTCTGCCCACCCTATACATTTGTTGCAGCTTAAGTGATGTAAGCTTTCCCAGATGTGTTTAGAGAACATGTAGTTTATTTTTCACTTGCTTGGTTTTTTTTTTTTTTTTTGGTACCTGGGATGGAACTCGGGACTTTGCGCTTGCAAGGCAGGCGCTGGAACCACTGAGCTAAATCCCTGGGCCTGCTTGGTTTGTTTTTTGAGATGGTCTCACTGTGTAGTTCAGGCTTGCTTTGAAGTCACTGTGTAGCCCAGGGTGGCCTCGAATTTGTGGCACTTCTCCTGCCTCAGTCTCCTGAATGCTGGGGTTACAGGCATGTGCCACCACTCCTGGTATTTTTTACTAGTTTTAATTATCATTTATCTTAAAGTTTTTCTGATGTAACAGCTTAGTGTCTTCAGGTTCTAACCTTTCTCTCTAACAACCTCCTTCTCTGCCTGCCCTCCTCCACTTTACCTCACCCAAGTCTAGCACCAGCTTTTTAAGGAACTTGGAAACTACTGGCAAGAGGTCAGTGGGGATTTAGGAAGTCAGGGAAATAAAAGTGTAAGGGGGAGGGGCGACAGTTGGCGTCAAGACACCGGAACCTACAAGGTTGCTGCAAAAACCATTTGCAGTTTTTGCAAACAGCCTTAATGTCATCAGCGCCCCTCTGCGGAATTCAAAGCTAAGCTTGTCACGATTGTAAGCACCTTCTTTAACCAGCATTTTTGTATTTGACAATTATTTTCTCCTCTCGCCACCAGGAAGGTTCTGCTGCCTTGGTTTTAGGGCGTCCCCTGTCCAGCGAACACCCCGTTGCTGTGCAGTAGTCCGGAGATGGTTTGTCCGGCTCTCCCGCTTTGTAGGGTGAGTGGATCCTAGGCTTGGAAGGCACGGCGTGGGGGCGGGGACGGAGTCGCGATTTCGGAGGTCTTCGAGAATCACCTTGAAAGTTAACGATGCTGCGAGCTCCAGATTGGGTACAATAACCGCCGGCCCTGGGCAGCGAGCCTAGGCTCCGCTGGCCAGCGTGGAGCAGCTCGGCTTTGGGCCACTTTGGGGGAACCCCGTTCCCGAGAGGGCACAGAGGCTGCTCCTGCGAACCCAAGAAGCTGTATCTACTCAGGACCCCGCGCCTGCGACACGCCGGCCAGTGGGCTCCTTGCGACCAAGCGAGGCACCAGGTGCTCCTCCGCGGATCCCTCCCAGTCTTGCCAACTTTACGGGCCCGGAGGAGGGCGCCGCTCCTGGCGGGTCGTGGTCGGTACTTAAGGCGGCTCCGAGGGCCGGCGCTCGCTCTTCAGTTGGAGGCGCGGCCGGCGGCGCACGGTGGAGGGAGGCGCGGCGGCGCGGAGCCGGAGGAGGGGCATGGAGCCGCCACGGGCCTCCTGAGCACCGAGCGCGGGCAGCCAGCGGCACGGTGAGTGGAGGGGTGGCCGGCAGGCTACGCTGGGGCCTTGCACACCAGGCTCCCCGTCCGCGGGTGCCAGGTCCAGCGCTGGGAGGCCGGCTGGGGGCAGCGGCAGCCCGGGCTCCCCAGTGGCGTTTCCAGCAGCCCCCTCCCCGCTGACCCCTCCTCCCTTTCTTCCTCCATCCTCCTGCCTTCCTCCCTGGCGGCTCCTGTTTTGTGAATGAATTAGGAGGCAGACGAGGGTGCGAGGCTCAGGCTAGCTGGCGCACCCCTCCCCCATCCACTCCCGCCAGGGTCTTCCCACCTGCGGGGACATCAAGAGCCCCGGCGCCCCTGTTCCTGAGGGTTAGCCTGGCCCTTGCTGCACGTGTCCGCCCAACTTGGCTCCTTCTCTTTCGCGGGCTTAAAGAGCAGATGGGAGGGCACCCGGCCGGCCGCTGTGGAAGAAGCCCCTGCCGCACGCACAAGTTTCCATCCCGCCGCGCGTGGGCCCGGAAGCAGGGCGCACCTGTTAGCGGGAGACGCTGCAGACCAGGCAGCCCCTCAAAGTTTCGGGGTTGAATGGGGAAGCGTGCGCCCTTGGCTGAAAATTTTCCTCTGTCGGTCTTAGGCGGGGCCGGCCCTGGGGAGCGGCCCCAATCGCTTGCCCTTGAACCCCAGTTCCCAGTGAGAGCCGGGGAGCCATCCCAGGGTCCCGTGGACCCCTTCTGAGCGAAGGCTGTGAGGATGGGGGACGAGCAGCACAGGGAGTAGGATCTCCTTGCTCCGCACCCCTCTTCCTCAGGCTTTGGGTGTCCGGGCTGGGGACCTCAACCAAAGCCCGCACCAGCGCCCGATTACACATGGGGTATCTGGCTGCGGGACCTTCGTGGGTCCTCTGGAGAGGACGGTTATCGAGGCAGTGCCTCTAATCCTTGCGGGAGAGAGGGATCCCACCCCGGGAAGGAGGGGACTGGCGACACCAGGGATGCCGCCTTTGTCTGCAGGCACACTTTTGCCAAGGTGACTGGGGCCCGGGAAGATGAACACAGCCTGGTCCGAATGAGATTTCAGGGGTTTTCCTTTCCTTTCCCGCTGGGTCTTGGGAAACAGGCACGTGGGTGTGGCGTGCGCCGCCTTTGCCAGGAGGTGAGGCTCTAGCCGGGCAGGAAGCGCGGCGAGTGCCGAGTGCCTTCGTGGCCGCAGTGACCGCAGTGACCTGGTGGGTGCAGTCTCCGGCACTGGACCAAGGTGGAGAGCCGGGGCCCAGCAGGTAGTTGACTGGTAGGCTAGCCCAGCGCACCTCGTGCCCCTTCCCCAGGCGAGTACAGGCGGGGCTTGGAGCACACCGCCCCCTTGGGCTTGTGAGCTCCAGAGGGGATCGGCAGGCCCTGAGCCGCAGGCGTGTGTAGGGAGCGGGGTAGGGAGGGCTGGGAGTCTTGCAGAGGAAGCTTGCCGCCGCCGGATCCCTGAGCTGGTGGGGCAGAGAGCCCGGAGGCCGTGCTTCCCGGAGAGACGAGGCTGCCAACAGCCCTTTCCGATCCCAGCTGCCTGAGGGCTGCTGGTGCCTGACTGGTGCCTCAGGCTGGCTGATTTAGGCAGTGGCTGCATATTTCTTATCCCTCCTATGTGAGAGGTGTCCCCTGGCAGGAAACTGTGTGTGTGTGTGTGTGTGTGTGTGTGTGTGTGTGTGTGTGTGTCTGGGTTTCGGTGAGACTTAAGAGTTGGCGCAAGCTTGGAAGGAGAGATTTATCATCTGGAGTTCCGGGGTGGAAACTGGATTCTCCAGATGGGGCAGGTGGGAAGAAGAGATCCTGGGAAGGCTTAAGTCAGAATGGAGGGCAGGAAGCAGTCTTTGTCACCCCTTCATCTATTCTCTTCTTCACACCCCTCTCACCATTTAGGCTCTAGAGGAAATCACCTCAAGGGCTGACTTCCTATTTTCAGAGAAATGATTTACCTGAGACCTGTGAAGGAAGATGTCATTGGAACCCCCATTGTAGTGACTGGAGACCAGGTTTTAGAGAACTTGGGCAAGGTCAGCCAGCCAGGAGAGAGTAGAGCTTGTCGCAGGCCAAGTCTCAGGAGCCAAGCCTGGGCTTTTCTCATTAAAGCACAGCTGTTTCCAACAGGGCAGACTGTGGGAACCCCATCTTAGCTGCAGACGGAAACTTGGCATCCTTTCCAGGAGTGGCTGGGCCCAGGGTTGAGCACAGAGATTCCAGCGGCACTAGGACCGAGCGGATGGGGCTCCCCAGGCAGCCACCTCTGTGAGGCTGCTGCAGTGGTGGCTGCAGTTCCCTCTGGCGCTCCTCAGTGCTGGGCTTCTAGAAGGGCTGTCCACGCCCCAGCTCTCATTTCCTCCCTGTTCCCTTGTCTGCTTTCCCTCCGGCTTTCCCTTTCTTTCCTGCCTTTGAGTAAATGAGAAAAAGGTGAGAGAGCAGAACACAGGGAAGTTTCTCTTACTGATTTTGCTGTGAGCAAGGGAGACCGTGTGTATCTTTGTTTCTCTGGTACCTCTTTTTATGTTTCCTGTGATTTCTGGTCTTTTCCTTCCCTGGTTTCTTCAAGGGTTGTGTGCTGTGCTTTACCAGGGAACAGTCCCCTCCTAGAGTCCAATCATTTACCAGAGGCTGTGGCTCTTAGGCCCCTAGTCACTGCCCTACCCTCCCTCCCAACCACCAGAAGACCCATCATCCCTATATGTACTCAGAAGCCCCTGGCCACAGGCTCGCCCCACTGAAGCATACCTATGAAGAGCTTGCTCAGGCAGACCCTTGTCTGCCATCTACCGGGGGTGTCACCTAATTCTGGTCTTTGTTTTCTCTAACAAGAATAACTACTATTTTGCATATCACCCAGTTATCCCTGGAAGATGCTAAGAGGTTAGTACTGCAATTGACATTTTTCAGATGAAATGACTAAGGAGCAACACAGCGGGAGAACTGGGGATTTGTACCCCAGTACTCTGACTTCTGACTCTCCAGAAGGTTTTAGTTATGCTTAATAAGTGGTCAATGGGCCGGGAATGTAGCTCAGCCACACAGCGCCTGCCTGGTAAGTGCGAGGCCCTGAGCTGGATTACCAGTACCAAAAAAAAGGGGGTCATGGGGTTTTTTTGTTTGTTTTGGTACCAGGGATCGAACTCAGGACCTTGTGCTTGAGAGGCAGGCGAGTCACCACTGAGCTAAATCCCCTGCCCTTGGTCTTCGTTTTTATTAGTGGGTCCCTTCTGTTGTTCTGGGCCAGACTCTGAGGATGCTGGTCCTTCCTACTGACCGCAAACGCTGCCTCCCGCCTGACCGCCCATCTCCCACTTTCTCCCACCAGATGCCGGTGCAGCTGACCACAGCCCTGCGTGTAGTGGGCACCAGCCTGTTTGCCCTGGCAGTGCTGGGTGGCATCCTGGCAGCCTACGTGACAGGCTACCAGTTTATCCATACAGAAAAGCACTACCTGTCCTTCGGCCTGTATGGCGCCATCTTGGGCCTGCACCTGCTCATCCAGAGCCTGTTCGCCTTTCTGGAGCATCGGCGCATGCGCAGGGCAGGGCAGCCGCTGAAGCTGCCTTGCTCCAGGCGCCGAGCTGTGGCGCTCTGCATTGCCGCCTACCAGGAGGACCCTGACTATTTGCGAAAGTGCCTGCTTTCAGCCCAGCGAATTGCCTTTCCTGACCTCAAGGTGGTCATGGTGGTAGATGGCAATCGCCAGGAGGACGCCTATATGCTGGACATCTTCCTTGAGGTGCTGGGCGGCACTGATCAAGCCGGCTTCTTTGTGTGGCGCAGCAACTTCCATGAGGTGGGTGAGGGTGAGACGGAGACCAGCCTGCAGGAGGGCATGGAGCGTGTGCGGGCCGTGGTGCGGACCAGCACCTTCTCGTGTGTCATGCAGAAGTGGGGAGGCAAGCGCGAGGTCATGTACACAGCCTTCAAGGCCCTTGGCGACTCGGTGGACTACATCCAGGTAAGGGTACCTCCCGGGCAGTGTATGTATGTATGTGGGGACTATCTGGCTAGCCGGTCTGACTTTTCTTCAGGGACTTTAGGTCAAGTGTAGGTGTGTGTTGTGCACATCCCTCTTATGCACAGAAGAAGGCAAAAGGGCATAATGGCTCTGAAGCGGACCTGGGTTGGAAATGTGGTTATGTTGGCATGTAGTTCTGTGACTTTGGGCAGACTTCTGCATTGGTTGAGCAGCAAACTGGTACATCATTTACTTCACACTAGGCACTGTTGTGGGCACTTGTAATATATTAATTACTCTTTTAATCCACCTACTACTCCAGAGGATAAATACTATTATTGCCTGTTACACTGCTAGTAAGGTGCAGAAGCAGGTAAGCCAGGCAGCCCATCTCAGGTCTGCTCTTAGCTCTTATGCAGTGCTGCCTGCCATTGGCACATGAGGTTGCACCTGTTCATAAAGAAATGTGAAGAAGCCGGACATGGTGGCACAGGCCTGTAATCCCAGTCCTCTGGAGGCTGAGGTAGGAGGATTGACACAAGTTCAAGGCCAGCTTGGGCTACATAGTGAATTTCAAGGTCAGCCTGAACGACATAGCAAGACCCTGTCTCAAACAAACAGAAAAAGAAATGTGAAGAGCAAAATCAACTGTTTCAGTTCTGGGCCCCAAAAGTCCCACTCTTTTAGTGTCAAGTTCTTGTCTGTGAGGTGGGAGGTGGACAGACACAGGAAAGAATAATCCTCCCACCTCATTTCTCAGCACCACTGGGAGGGCTGGAACCGTGAGCTGCCCCTGCTCATCTGGTCTAAGTGGTCATTGATATCAGCCTGGAAATTGTACTAGGTTGACAGAGCTTCAATTTTCAAATAATACAACCTAGAGAGAACAGAGAAGATTAAAACTCACACATTCATGGGCCGGGGATTTAGCCCAGTGATTCCGTCGCCTGCCTCGCAAGCGCAAGGACCGGAGTTCAATCCCCGGTACCAAAAAAAACCCCCAAAACAAAAAAAAAACCCTCACACATTCAGTACCACACAGGAATGGGAAACCCAGGACCCAGATTCTGGTCCAGAATTCTTCACAGCACCCAAATTGCATCTATTCTATCTCTGCCATTCTCTGCACCTGTCAGAAGAGTTTGCTCCATAGCTTCATAAATGCTTGAAAAAAGGGTGGCTATTTTGGTAGCCCATCTATCTGTGTGCCACTTCAGTATTGCTGACAGGATATTGAGTTCTCTATTTAAGTTGTTTACAGTATACCTACCTAAAATTAGCTTGTATACTTTGGATTTTTTGAAGGTGTGTCCTTGTGAGAGTTGATACCTTTTTCTTTTTCTGTCTTCCTAGGCCCAAGGACCTCCTCAGCTATATAGGGAGGGTTGTCAGCCTAAAAGGCTGTTTGATTCTGCAGTTCACCTGGGGTTGTAGGGGCTTTGGAAAACCTTCCTGTGGTCCCCAAAAGCTCAGAAAAATGCCTTGAGCCCTGACTTGTGTCCTCAAGCCACCATGACTATGTCATTTGCTCCCTTTAAGCTTGGGACCCCCAAACCTGCTCTGCCACATAATTCCTTTCCCTAGTCATCTCTGGTGTATTCCTGTGGGTCTGCAAACACCCCCACCACCACACACACATATACTCCTAGCCATGCCTTTGTCTTTATGGCCCTGAGACCAATGCCCAAGGCAGTGCTGGGCTACAATGAATACTTCTTGGATTTCAGCCTGTTTCCCACAGCCCTGCTGAGGGCATGTGTCTTTGCCTCTGTGGAAGAAAACTTTGCCCCAGGCAGCACAGGGTTCTTTTTTCCTCAAACCCTGCTCACCTAGAAAGACCTCTTTGGAGTGAATGAGGCAGAGCAGCATGAAGGATGGGTTAGAGCCCTGACAGGAAGCAGTAGTGAGACCAGCAGTGGCTTGCTTAGCCTGTAAGCTGAGGAGGCTGAGTCTGGCCGGAGGCTCCCTGGGACCTTCTCTGTCCTTGGACCAGCATGTAAGGATGTGTCATGGTGAGGCTGAAGAAGCACATGTGAGAGACCCGGCCTGGCACCTGATTCCCCCTTGGCCTTCTATTGTTGCTTGTCTGTGGTCACCCTGTCTTTTAACAGAGAGGGAAAACCTAGAAGGTTTAGAGTGTCAGAAGCAGCCTCTTTCCTGCAGGCTGATGGGATCTTACTCAGCAACTTTTAATTTTATTTATTTAATTTTATTTTTTCCATTTAGTTTATTGGTACATTTTAGGTATACAATACAGTTACATTCCTCATTGGGATCTTTTACCTTTACATAATGTATCTTGGTTCTTATTTTTTTCCCCATTCCCCTGCCCTCCCTTCACCCCTCCACCCTTCCCTATTTACAAAGACTTTGTTTCCATATTTTTCTTTTTCTCATATTTTTCTTTTCCCTTCTTTCCTTTCCCCTTCCCCTCCCATTTCCTTTAGACATTTCCTTCCTATTTCACAATATCAATGATACATTTTGATTCTTATGTACACTTAGTTTTTCACACCAGAGAAACTATTCAGTATTTACACAAGTGTGTCTTATTTATTTCATTTAAGAGTATGGCCTCAATGTGCATCCACTTAGCTATGAATGTCTCTAGTTTCTCATTTTTATGGCTGAGTAGTACTCCATTTTATAAAAAACCCCCACATCTTTATCCAGTCTGCAGTTGATGGGCAATTGGGCTGTTTCTAGGTTTTAGCTATTACAAACTGTGTCGCTGTAAACGGGTGGGCATATATCACTGTGGTATGATTCTTTTAATTCTTTACTCCGCAACTTTTTATTTTGATGCTGGGGATTGAACCCAAGGCCTTGCATCAGCAATTTTAGTTAAATGGATTTTAGGTTTCTGCGGGGTAGGGTTTGGGTTCATCATTGGATACTGTTCTCTTCTTTGAGAACAGTGACCATAGAGCTCAATTCCCCTGCCAACAGTTATCTGGGCTCTATCATTTCAGTTACTTTTTATAAAATAGACAAGGAGTCAGTCACAAGGGTAATGCTTTCAGATTCCGTGTTCACTAATCATGGGACCACTGAGACCAGGAGCCTCCTGCGGGAAGGAGGGCATGTGGGCAGGATGTGATTCAGGGTCTGACTGGAGGTAGCTATTGCTAGCGTCCACGGCCATTCAGGGTAGATCCCAGGGAAGCAGAGCCATCAGCCAGACTGTGCGCCAGTCTTAAAGATTTGGCCAAGGCAGTCTGTGTGGAAGTGCAGAGTGTCTGGGAGGCCATGTTTGTGGTCTCATGGAGGGCTTCTCAGCACAGGGGCTGGAGGTTGTCCAGGAGGCCAAAGGCTAAAATGGGGACCCTTAACCACTGCCCTGTGGGATCATTTGGGGCAGTAGCCCCTGACAGGAGCCTTTCTCAGCCTTCTGAGGAATGTCTGCTGATCCTTCCTGTTCTAGCCCACTGTGCCTGTCATCTGATTTCAGTGACTTGCTCCCCTTTTCTGCCCAGGGACCTCAGATAAATATTTTGAGGCCATTTCTGTGGAACCTAGCACTGCAGGATTAAAACATTTTCCACTGCTAAGCATTTGTCTTTTCCTAGGGTTGGTACCTACAGTGTCTTGGGTTTTTCTCCTCAACTCAGTGGCTATCAAGCCCGGGATGTGGAGTCTCCTTTTCTTTACTTGCCTTTGTTTTTCCTCTCTCCCTTTCTGGCCAAGACTTCTCTAGTGGAAGAGAATCATGTGAGAAGGGGGGTCACTTCGCTCTGATAGCGAAGAGCTGGTGGAGGGGGGAGGGTACCGGCCCAGATCTGAGGTCAAAACAGGCTCATGGTGCACTCCCCTGCAGGTGTGCGACTCTGATACTGTGCTGGACCCAGCCTGCACCATCGAGATGCTTCGAGTCCTGGAGGAGGATCCCCAAGTAGGGGGAGTCGGGGGAGATGTTCAAGTAAGAAGTAACCAGGGATCCCTGGGGATAGGGGTCTGGACTCTTTCCTAACCCAGTAGGATATGCCTGCTAGTACTTGCTAGTACTTTGGGGGTGGTTCCCCTCTTGACAGTTTTCACTGATGCCAGAGGGCTCAGCTCACTTGCAATGCAATTCATTTCCTGCTCTTTTTTCAACATGAGAGGAAAAAAAAAAATCACTGAATAGTTACAGACAGCCTATGCAGGGAAGGCTATAGGATTTTGAGGCAACAGATCCTAAAGGATATCTCCCTTTCAGTTGCTTAGTAGGTAACTCCTAAGTTAAGCCCTTGAAAGCCCTTGTTTCTAGAAGACGTGGGCTGACAAGCTCTGGGCAATATGGTAATCATAAAGGACTGGATCTTCTTGCAGAGGATATTGTAGACAATATATCACATCTTCCTAAGCTTTACAACTGCAGAAGCAGCAGGACAGATGGCTGGGGTGGTGTTTTGCTTCCTTCCTCAGACCTTCTCTCTGCCACCACTACTGGCTCTCTCCTGAGATTTGAAGGCAGCTTAGTTGGGAGAGTGAGTGCAATGACACAGTGGAGAGGTGGAGCTGGTGCTGGGGAGAGTGAGTGGGTATGGTTGGCCCCTTTTAGCCTCAGATTTATCAGTTCTAGTGGGGCTAGTACTGATGCCCAGTAATTTGAGCAATGGATCTCAGAATCCAGGGTAGGGAGGCTTCCTGGTCTGTGGTATCTTTCTCCTTTGGAGCTCATGCCTCAGATGAGAAGGCCTAGCATCTCTGTTCCTTTGCAGATCCTCAACAAATATGACTCATGGATCTCCTTCCTGAGCAGTGTGCGGTACTGGATGGCCTTCAACGTGGAGCGGGCCTGCCAGTCCTACTTCGGCTGTGTGCAGTGTATTAGTGGGCCCTTGGGGATGTACCGCAACAGCCTCCTCCAGCAATTCCTGGAGGACTGGTACCATCAGAAGTTTCTAGGCAGCAAGTGCAGCTTTGGGGATGACCGGCACCTTACCAACCGAGTCCTGAGCCTTGGCTACCGGACTAAGTATACAGCGCGCTCCAAGTGCCTCACAGAGACCCCCACTAAGTACCTCCGGTGGCTCAACCAGCAAACTCGCTGGAGCAAGTCTTACTTCCGGGAGTGGCTCTACAATTCTCTGTGGTTCCATAAGCATCACCTCTGGATGACCTACGAATCAGTGGTCACAGGTTTCTTCCCATTCTTCCTCATTGCTACAGTCATTCAGCTTTTCTACCGGGGCCGCATCTGGAATATTCTGCTCTTCCTGCTGACGGTGCAGCTGGTGGGCATTATCAAGGCTACCTACGCCTGCTTCCTCCGAGGCAATGCAGAGATGATCTTCATGTCCCTCTATTCCCTTCTCTATATGTCCAGCCTCCTGCCAGCCAAGATCTTTGCCATTGCTACCATCAACAAGTCTGGCTGGGGCACTTCAGGCCGAAAAACCATTGTGGTGAACTTCATTGGCCTCATCCCTGTGTCCATCTGGGTGGCAGTTCTTCTTGGGGGCCTGGCTTATACAGCTTATTGCCAGGACCTGTTCAGTGAGACTGAGCTAGCCTTCCTTGTCTCTGGGGCCATCCTCTATGGCTGCTATTGGGTGGCCCTCCTCATGCTGTATTTGGCTATCATTGCTCGGCGATGTGGGAAGAAGCCAGAGCAGTATAGCTTGGCTTTTGCTGAGGTGTGATGTAGCCCCTAAGCAGAATGGGAAAAGTGCAATGGGTAAGGGAGGGGAGGGGGAATGAAAGAGAAAAGACTGGGTTGGGGGGAGGAGGGAGTGCTGTGTTTTAGTTTTAATGGTCCAAAGGGACAAATCTGAAAGGCAGAGAATGGTGACTGTAGTATGGCCTGGGCTAGGCAGCTCTCCTCAGAGGAGCTGACACTGATTCTTCAGGCTCAGGGGAGAGGGTGTTTGTATGTTTTAAGGGTGCTTGTCTATTTGCCCCACACACAAGCAGTGGCCTCTAGGAAGGATCCTGCCTCCTCCCCTGGGGTCCAGAGAGAACTCAGAAATGTGCCAAACCAGATGATAGTTCCCTTCCATGCCAATTTCTGGTAAGCAAACAGTGTCATCCTGTAGGAAGGGGTTCTCCTAGCCTATGTGAACATAACCAGAGGTGGTAGAATTTCCACGGAGAGATCTGAGCCAAGTAATGTCCCCTTCCTCTCCCTACTGATCATCATCAGTGCAGTTAAGATTGTGCCTGAGATACAAGGCCCAGAGGCCTGATCTTTGGGTATCAGGAAACAGGGTCCAGGAATGGTGCTTTAAGTGATCTACCCCACTCTACATCTTAACATCCCATGAGCCAAACTAGTAGGAGTTAGCATTGAACTGCTTTTCTATTTTATTTTTTGCAGTAGTGGGGACTGAACCCAGGGCCTTCACAGTGAGTTATATCTGCCCCTCCCACACCCCATTTTTTAAAAATTATGAGACAGGGTCTCACTAAGTCACTGAGGCTGGGCTTGAACTTGTGATTCTCCTGCCTCAGCCTCCCGGAGTGCTGGGATTACAGGAGTGTGCTACCATGCCCAGCTAACACTAAACTGCTTTTAAAAGTGCATATTGAAAAGGAAAGTTTGCCAGGAAGAACAAAGAGATTGTGGTGGAGCTGAAGACATGGAAGCCTTGGAATGAATGTGTTCCACTTGGAAACGGATCAGATGACTTCTAGATGAATTCTGAACTTGTCTGTGATCACTGCTGGGAAAATAAAATGTTTTAGCCATCTACCGGGAAGATTAAACCCCAATATGTGAAGCAAAGTCTTGGATATTTTAACTTGTATACTACTGGACTCCTCTCAAATTCAGCTCTGAACCGAAACTAGATATTTTATCTTCCTCACTTCACTTTCTTCAAAGACATTTTTTGGGGGGATTAAATGGCCATCACCTCTTCCACCACCATCATCCTAGGAAAAATTTTTAAGGTGGCAATTGGTGAAGAGCCTAGGCTCTTACAAGCCTCTGTGCAATAGGCAAGCCTGCTCTCTACACATATGAGAAGAATGTTGGGACCCTCTCTTCATACTGGCTGCCATCTTGGAATTGGACAGAATCCTTGGCAGCTTGTTAACATGTGTGACTTTCACACTACAGTTCTTGACAGTCATCTCCAGTTGAAAGGTTTTCAGTGTTGCCAAAGTGAACCCTCAAATCGAAGCTGGCCATCTGTAAGACTACCCCATTCTCCACAGTGGCTTTTCTAGGGAATTTTTTTGGAGGGTGGTCCTGGGGATTGAGCCAAGAAGTACTCTGCTCCTGAGCTACATCACCAGCCATTTTTTTTTTTTGTGAGACACAGTTTTGCTTAGTTGCCCAGGCTGACCTCAAACTTCTGCCTCAGTCTCCCAAGTAGCTGGGAGTGCAGACGTGTGGCACAACACCCAGCTTCTCTCGAGAATTTGTTTTTGCTTTTTTGGTACTGGGGATCAAACTCAGGATTTTGTGCTTGCGAGGCAGGCTGTGGAACCACTGAGCTAAATCCCTGGCCCTTCTCTCGAGAATTTGTAAAGCCAGGTTGTGGATAGTCACTACTGCATTTGCTTGCTTTTGTCCAGAAACTATAACTAGGAAATGGAATTTGTTCCTAACAAAGGTTCTTGCTGTTTTACACCCCCTGGGGCTGTTTAATTTCCCTCTACTGTTTTGGGAGTGAGGGGAAACAATCTAGAGATTTGCAATCCAGACTGCGCAACTTGGGGTTGGCTCGGCTTCTGGAATCCTGCTAAGCCCTTGACTTAGGGACTGTTCACTTTCCAAATGTCTTTTCTCAGTGGGACCAGCTAACCCCTCAAAATCAGTGCTAAGCTGGAGAGTAGTAGAGGGGGGAAAATTTAGTGTGTCCAGGTGCTTCCTACAAAGGAACCAAGTGTTCTTTGAACCATAGATGGGCAAACCCTGATACTTTCTCTCCTATGAATTCAAGGGTTTTCCAGGAGTAGCTAACAGCTGCCACATCACATAGACCTCAAGCTTCTAGTAAAACTGCTGGTTGATCGTCAGGCCCAACATACGATGTTTGGGAAGCAGCAGGGATTTGCTAAAGGCAGTTGTTCCAGGTTCTTCCGTGTTTCTGCTGGCCAAGAAATAAGCTATTTTGAGCATTACAGCGGAGGAAGTCCAGTCAGCCAACTCCTCAGTTAAGACTTCGCTAAGGGCTTTTCTTCAGCATTGACTTGAAGAATGATGGACTCTGAAAACTCCTGGCTATCCTACCATCAGCTCTGCCTTGCACTGTGGTTATCAACTTTCAGAAGAAGGCAAACGCTGATAGTGAGCTCACAACGTTTGACCTCGTCTGGTTTTTCTAAGTTATTTTGTATATTTCAGCAGCAAAACCAAACTGGGTCTTCAGCTTTATCCCTGTTTCTTGTAAGGGAAGAGCCTTTATACAATTGGACACATTTTGGTTTTTCCTCATTGAGAATTTTAACCCTCTTTTATATTTCTACAGTAATTTGTAAACATATTTATTTTTGCCTGATTTTTTTAAGAAGGAGGGAAGTGTAACATTAAAGTTGGGGAGGGAATCGGAAGGGAGGCAGCTTTACTTGGTGACGGTGTTCATGTTCACGCTCTTGCCACTTCCACTGAGAATGTGTGGAATCTTCTGGGCTTTCTGCTTGTCCTGCAGCACCATCACTGTGCTCAGGGGGCACATCACTAGAGCTCATTCTTCATTTGCTGCTCCGTCTTCACCTGACCTGAGCCTTTCCTGAGAAGTAGGGGGACAGCTACCAGAAAGCCACCTTGGGTGTGAGTTTCTGGCCTTTGTGGTCCATGTATTCAGTCTTAACATTGGGCCTGAAGCAGTCTTTCTCCTTGAAGTCTTGGGTGAAACAGGTGGGTACTCTTCCCACCTGGTGTACTTGTCCATAATAGCCATCATGTCCTTGATGCTGTACATAGCTGAGTGCAGGGACTTGTTGGGGACCTTCTGCATTGCGGCCACTAGCCAGCCCTTTGTTCTGACATGGGAGCAGGGCTATGGAGAAGGCAGAAAAGTCCTGCTGCTGCTTCTCATTCATTCATTCCTTCTCATTCATTGATCATGCTCTAGCTGACATTCTCTTCTCTGTCCACTTTGGAGTTACCGCTGGCCGAGCACTCCTTGTCCTGTTCAAAGCCCATGAGGGGATAGCTTGCAGCTGGGGATGTCCCCCAAGGTGTAGCAAAATTGAGCTGGTTGAACACAACCCCCCTTTCTGCTCAGGATCTTCCTCTTTCCAGTTCTGCTAGCAAGATTCCAGCTTCTTCACAATCTCCACCATCTTGCTGTCTCAGCTGGCATCCATTCTCCAGCTACTTCTGTAGCTCCAGCTTCACCTCGTCCTTGTCACAAGTATGTCCATGTCCTCTGCAGGTGTTGTCCTACAGCAGAGGCTGCACCATGAGCTCTTCTCATCCTCCAGGGCTGCCTCCTCCACTTGGGGCACTCAGCTCCCACCCGAATCCTGCAGTCGAACCAAAGTCCCTATCCCAAATTGGCCCCCAAGATGCAACAAGTCATTTGCGCACACTTCCACTTTCCTCTTGCAGACTTTCTTCATCTTCCATGGTCCTTTTGAAGGTGACCATCTCTGGTGGGAGGCACAAAGGGTGAGTGGAGGCCCTGTGGGTCTCAGAGACAGCCTGCAGCTGCATCGTGGCCCAGATCTCTTCCCACTCACATTCCCACAGGTCACTGGCCATGCTGCCCTAGGAAGAGTATGGCTGCTCCCCCTCCAGCTCCTCGACTAACTTGGCCATGATAGACTGAAGTTTTTGCTATTATGCCAAGTCCTCTGTGATCTTGTTCTCCGCATAGGGCAGATAGGCTGCTGCTTCCAGAGCTCCATGTTCTCTGCCCACTCATCCACCTGGTTTGTGTTCACCAGCACATCCTCCTCCTGCAGCATACCTAGGTCCTTGAGGGTGAGGACCAGTCTTCCCTGCTCAGAGGGAATCAATGGCATGCTCCATTGTGTGGCCCTGCAGCTCCTCAGCACTGTTCAGATCCTGCTACCTCTGAAGCTCCTCCACGTGTACTGATGCCAGTATTCTTGGTCCATGCCCAACAAGAGCTTGGCTTTTTGTCAAGCTCTCTTCCTACATGCTGACTCCTCTCAATCCAGGATGCAGTGTTGGCAACCCTGGGGTCAACTTCTCCCAGTGATTTTTTTTTTTTTTTTTTTGGTACCGGGGATCGAACTCAGGTCTCTGTGCTTGCCCAGCAGGTGGTGAAACCACTGAGCTAAATCCCTGGCCCCAACCAGTGTTTTTCATCTTCCCCAACTTTTGATTTGGCAGGTGCTTTTCCTTGGCAGCGGCCAGCTTTTGTTTCTCATGCTGTTGCAAGGCCACAGAATTGACATTGGCCACTACAGGCTCCTCCCTGGTGCCTGCCTCTTTCTCCATGACCTTGACCTCTAAGGGTTTCAGCCCCAACTTTGCCTGGAGTTTACTGGCCTCCTAGATGCTGAATGATTAGCATCTATCTCCTGAGCTATTTTTGGAGCTGGCAGCAGCCTCATAGCGGTCACGCTCCCCACTTCACACCCTGTCCCTGTACAGGGCTCAGGCTGGCTGCAATCCTGGCCATGGGTGCCTCTATAGGCCTTGGCTTCTGACCCGCGCCACCTCATGATACTGGCTCTGCTTCTAATCTTCACTGCTGCCACTCTGGTGCTTTTTTTCCCTATGCAGTGTCACCCCTGGGCTGCCTCTCCGCGGTGCTTTTATAACAACCCCATGGTGCTACCTCTGCCCAGAGCCGGTACCTCTCCCCCAACTACTTCTAGGAATACATGGCAGCTGCTGTCCTATTGCCAGAAATCGAGTGGTTACTTCCAACAGGAGTCTTTTTTTAACTTTTCAGGTCAAAATTTTTATATTGCACTTATTTGTCAAAATAAAAATTCTCACATAATGCTGGTGTGGTAGCTTTCTGTTGCGGTGACAATAACTGACATAAATCAACTTCAAGGAAAAAAGGTCTGACTCAAAGTTTCTGTCCATGGTCCATGGCTACCTAGATCCATTGTTTCTGGGCATATGGTGAGGCACTTCATGTTGGGAGCATGTGGTGAAAAAAAGCTCATTTCAAGAAGGCTAGGAAACAAAAGGGGCAGGCAACAAAATATACCTTTCAAAGCATACTTCCTTATTTCCTCCAACTAGGCCCCACGTCCTAGTTTTCACTACCTCCCAACAGCTTAAGGCATGTATCCATTGAGGGCAGAGTGTTGATCCAACTACCTCCCATCTCTGAACACTGATGCACTCAGACTACACCTCTGACACAGCTTTGGGAGGGCATCTAACAACCAAAGCAATACAGCTTGTAGCTCTGAGCTACTGCCTCTTTGTACTCAATAAAGCTCGCTCCTAGGGCTGGGGGATTTAGCTCAGTGGTTCCACCGCCTGCCTCACAAGCAGAAGGACCCAAGTTCAATCCCTGGTACCAAAAAAAAAAGAAAAAGAAAAAAAGCTGGCTCCTTACACCAATCTCAGAAGGGCTGGAGATAGAAATGGTTTAATCAGTGTGGTTCAAAAACAGGATAAAGGTGTCCCAGCTACCTGGACTGTGGAATACAGAATGTACTTCTCAGTGGCATAACTTATTGTAGAGACGAGGCAGGGTCTGTGGTGAACTACCTGGCTGAGTGAGCAAGCAAGCTAAGGCTAAAAACCAAAAGCTTGCTTCTTCAGTGCACCCATTTTAGCTGGCAGGCCATGGAGAATTGTAGTCAAAGTGAAACAATGAAAAGCAGAGGGTAAACTTCTCTCCCAGTGCGAAGGTAACACAAGGAGTGACAAACAGCCCTCTCAACCCATTTATTAAAGAAACAGTAAGAAAAGATACAATGCAGGAAAAACACCAACCATCCTTCACATCAGGCTGAACAAAGCACAGTGATTTCTCCCCTTCTCCCCCCACCCCCACCCTAATTTCCATCCACACCAGTTTAAAGTTTGAGGTTTTTGGATAGGGAGTACCAGTGGAGAGGGAGTCAGATGAACACAGCAGCCTTAAACATGGCCACCTCTAAGTCCAGGAGAAAGGAGCCGCAGGCCTAGTCAGTCAAGCAGAAATTTATCTGGTGGGTTGAAGTGGTTGTCCACCTCCCTGTTCTGTGTTCAAGCCCCCAGGGAAAGGTCTGGCAGTAGGTGACCAGGTCCAAGCTGCCCATGTCAGAGCTATTGAAGTATGGTCCGTTCACCAATGCAACATCTCTAGAGCAGTGAGCTTGATTCTCCAGTGGGGAGCAGGGGATTACACATACACTGGGACCAGGCCAATGTATCCCTGAGGAAAAGTCCACAAGAACAATTCAAGAAACTGGTAAGAAACAAAGGGCAGAAAGCTGTGGAACAAAAGCACAGCAGGCTTCTGAAAGGCCCAAGTTCCTTTCTCGAGGCAAGTTATCATTCCCAACTTTTCAGTCCATGTCCCACAAATAACATTTCACCTTCAGTCAAGAAAAAAGCAGAGAAAAAAGATAGTTCTTCTGAACTTGAGTCTCAGCTAAGTTCTTCAGACAGTAGTAGCTCTGTATGTAGATACAGAGCTCTTTACCTAAAGAGACAGTCCCTGCCCAGAACCACAGTGGAAAACAAATGGTCCTGGAGGGAAGGTGGTGTTTAAGGGGGTAACATTCCATTTGGGTACATTGTAGCCATTGGCCCCCCTGGTCTGGAGAAAGCAGGTGGGTTTGTGCCAGGGAGGTTTCCCACCCTAGGAAATGGGACCACACTCTTGGCAACAGGGCCATTCATCCTTGGAAACGAAGCTGGGTTTAGACCCAGGGTTCCTGTTGGCCTTCCAAAAGGAGCTGGGTTGATACCCATAGGGCCTGCTGGAGAAGAGCCCAGATGCCCACCAGCCGACCTGGGGAAAGCAACTTGACCTGGGCCTAAAGGACCAGTAGACCTTGGGAAGGCAGCTGGACTTGGACCCTGCAGGCCAGTGGCCCTTGGGAAGTTAGCTGGGTTGGGGAATAGAGGCCCAGAGGCTCGTGGGAAAATTGCTGGACTTGAGCCCTGGAGGCCAGCAGACCTTTGGAAGGTACCTGGGTTTGAAGCCAATGTCCCAGAAGACTGAGAGAAGGCAGTTGGGTTCAGTCCCCCTGAACTTGTCCCCCTGGGAAAGGGATTGGCATTCACCCCCATGGGGCCACCTGGCCTTGAGAAATGAGCTGCATTAGGGCCAATGGGGCCAGGAGCCCTTGACATGGGAGATGGAGTTGGCCCTGGAAGGCCAATTCCTCGAGAGCTAGGACCTGTGTTTGGGCCTAGGGGGCCAGGTACTCTTGTCATGGATGATGGGCTTGTGCCCATGTTTCCAGAAGCCTGTGAGAAAGAAGCAGAATTTGCTCCTAAAAGGCCTGCTGCTCTTAGAATTGGGGCAAGATCCAGGCTTTGGGGTCCAGCCATTCTTAAGTTAAGACCAGATCCTGTGCCTAAGAGGCCACCTGCTCTGGTGTCCAGATTTGGACCTGGACCCAGGCCTCCTGCCCTTGGGTTGGGCCCAAGACCTGGACCCACACCACTTGCTCGTGGGTTGGGCCCTGGGCCTGGGCCTGGGCCTGGAAACATACGTGACCTAGGGGCAGGGTTTGTACCTAAAAAGCCTGATCTCAGATTGGGATTTGGTCCAGGGCCCAGACCAACTGGCCTAGGATTAGGAGGACCATTCCCAGAAGACAACAAGACACCTGATCTCAGACTGGGTCCAGATCCAGGTCCCATGGGGGCACCACTTCTGGGGTCAGGACTTGCTCCCAGGAGACCCCCTGTCCTTGGATTGGTCATAGGGCCTGGGCCTGGGAGACCTCCTAATCTGGGGTTAGACATAGGACCTGGGCCCGGAAGAGCGCCTGTTCTAGGGTTTAGAGCTGGTCCTGGTCCTGGACCCAAAAGGCCACCCGGCCTTGGGAAAGATGCTGTGCCTGTGCCAGTAGGATTTATCCCTCTTGGAAAAGAAGCCATGCTTGGGTCACGAGCACCACCAGGAAAAGGTGCTGGATTTGAAGCCAATGAGCCTGATGAAGATGGAAAAGATGGGTTCCTTGGAAATGGGGCCAGATTTCCACCAAGAGAACTGGCTGCCATAAGGAAAGGATCCGAGTTCATGCCTAATGGGTGGCCTGTGTTCAGAACAGGACCCCCCTGTGGTCCTAGGGAACTGTCAAGCCGTCCTCGAGGTGGCAGTGGTGCACGAGTCCAAGGAGTTGGCCGCTCTCTAGGGAAAATCCGGGGTTCTTTCATACTTTCTTGGGGACGTTGGTGATAATGGGCTTGGGGCGGGTCTTGAAAAGGATCTTGTCTTTGATGAGTGCTGTCACCAGGTACCGGGTGGTGCCAGGGTCGTGGCCAAGCTCATCACAGTCCTGTTCCCCAGGAGTGTGTTTGATAAGAACTGCAAAAGGCTTCTCCAGGTGGATGATTTTCCCATACAGGATATGATGCCCCACGATCAGCACTGGAATTCCCTTTGACAGAAGAACAACAAGATGCCTGAGGTTCAGGGAGAGACCATTCCACTTTAGATGGCTTCTAAAGCTACTCCTGGCACCCCCACTCCCTGATCTGGTTCTACCACTGTTGAGTAGAAACACTGGACAAACCACCCTCTGCCCTTTTTAACTTTTTCCTGCTCCATGTATGAAAATGTCCATTTTTAGAAACGTTACCTTTCCAGATTCCCCAAAGCTGAATTTCTCTGCTACTGCCGACATGGGGGAAGAACAAGCAGATAGCTCTGCAGATTAGCTAGACCTTGAATAACAAACCTGAGGGCAGTCCTCACTCTGGGTCCTGGGAGCACCACCTTGGTGTGGCTTGCTTTCCTGAGTCATTAGGCAGGGAAAGAAAACCCCCTCACCTCAGTGGTGTAATGTAGGTCTCCCAGGAGGTTTCCAGCTAATCCAGTGCTGTAGCGAGCCTCGATCTCCCCCTGTAGCTCCATCAGCACCCATTCTGCCAGGCCTTCAGCCCCCGCACTGCAAGCAAAGGGCTGGCGGTTACAATATTTTTGAGGGGTGAAGGATGAGTAGAGTCCTACACCACCATTCAAGGCCCAAAGGAACTCTGTTGAGCACAAATTCTTGGGAAATTGGGCAGTGCTAGGCACTGAACTAGAGATCTTAATGCAAAGATTTATGCAAGATGTACCCAAAGACCCTGATTCTTCCAGAAAAATGTGAAACCTGTGTATAATCATTCAAGCTAAATAAAAATCTCAAAATGTACTAACCTGGAAATAACAATCTGCACCATGAGCTTTCTTTCTTTAAAAAGCAAGTGAAAATAGACTGTAGAGAAAAAAAGAAAAAAATCAGGATAATGATGACAGTTAATATCAAAATGACAGCTAGTTCTCATTTATTGTTTGACAGGGACTTTTTTAAGTGCTTTAGACACACATTACTTTGCTTCCCTAACAGTGTCATAAGGTGTAAGCTTTCTGATTGTGTACATGAGATAAGGTTGCTAAAGATTATCAACAGCTGGGCTGGGGAAGTAGCTCAGTGATCAAGTGCTTGCCTCCTGAGCTACACCCTGGGTTTTTGACATTCAGATTGTGCACGTTTATGCAGGTACACACATACAATCACCAGCAGTCAACTCAATTTGGAAAATAGGTACTGTAACTGTACTCAAAACCAGAGACAGAGTATGAACCCAGGACATAGTGCAGAGACCACTCTTGGTTTTTTTGCAGCACTAGGGATGGAACCTAGGGTCTTTTGCATGTTAGGCAAGTGCTCAACAAATGAGCTATCCTCCCAATCCTTCTGGCTGGCCTTAAACTTGTGCTCTTCCTGCCCCAGCCTTCCAAGCAGCTGGTATTAAAGACATGCACTGTCATGCCTGGCTCAGGATACCTTTGACCACAAATGTTAACTTGTCTTTCTTGAGGTATCCTATTTTCTCCCCTGTACATTTCTATTTAAAAAGGAACTGTTAGATTTGATTGATCTGAAAGAGTCCTTCTAACAACTCCAATGAATGGCTAAGCTGACTTCTGATGTGACTGTCAACATATGCTTTGACCACCTGTCATTTTTACTTTTTTAGATTTTTCACAGGGTCTCACTATGTAGTTCAGGCTGGCCTTGAACTCATGGGGATCCACCTGCCTAAGCCTCCTGAGTGCTGGGACTACAGGTGTCTGCCATCACGGCCAGCTACCACCTTTCATTTAGAAACGAAAATACTCCAACAGGGAGAGAATTAGATTCATTTTATACAACAGCACCACCTCGTGGCAAGTGTGGGCTACTCTACAAGAACAGCTAAAATGGGAGATTTTGCTTGGGGACAATTGACTTTATTTGTACTTTTGTCTTTCTTGGAAAGGACAGAATTCATAGTGGGTTCAGGAGATGGTGGACCAAAATTACAGCTTATGCTTAAGCCCTTCAAATGTACTTTTCATATGAAGGTTAGTGGAAGGCTGTTCAGTATTTACCAACTGTAGTGTGGAAAGTTAATAGGTATAATTGTGCTCAAGCTTAGCAAATACTTGATTAAAATAGTAAACATGTTTCTCTACTGATATGTTAATCTTCATTTTAGATCTCTGGAGAAAGGTAGTATAGCTTGTATAGACTTATAGGATGACTACTCCCATAGCGCCTAACACACTGGGAACATAAAAGTTGGTCAACTCACTTGGACTTCAACTAGAAAGAAGTAGCAGCTAATATGTTTTGAATTTGTATTATAGACTGGATCCTGTGCACATACTGTGGTGATATCTCAATTAACATGACAAATGCTGGGGATTTAGCTTAGTGGTTCCGGCGCCTGCCTCGAAAGTGCAAGGTCCCAAGTTTGATCCTGGGTACCAAAAAAAAAAAAAACCAGGGATTCAGCTCAGTGGTTCTGCCACCTGCCTTGCAAGTGCAAGGACCCGAGTTCGATCCCAGGTACCAAAAAAAAAAAAAAAAAGACATCCATGATATACAAGTATCTATTTTCCAGATGAGACTCAGGCATACAGAGATTAAGTCATTTGCTTGTTAAGTGGTTCTCATACAGTAAGTATGGTAGAGCCAAGATAGAAACCTAGGCTATCTGACCATCTACACTCATAATATTACTACCCAATTCTGCCTTCCCAAAGGAAAAAACCAAGTGTCAGTGAGAATGAATAGGAATAAAGGCATTAGGCAGGCACTGCACACTTGTAAGTTCTGGTCAGAACGGCAAAAGGGCACCAGGTAACATCCTTGAAAAAGCCAGAACTACTGTAGCAGCATACATAGGCTGTGGTCCTGAGAACAGACATTAACACCAGCTCTGAGGCCTTCATACAAAGAGTTCCCACCATTACCATCAACAGAATCTAAAGTACTTTTTTTTGTTTTGTTTTCGAGACAGGATCTTGCTGTGTAGTTCAGGCTGACCTTGATCTATGGAGCCCAGGCTAGCCTCGAACTCACGGCAATGCTCCTGCTTCAGCCACTGAAGTGCTGGGATTATAGGCATGTGCCATCATGCCTAGCAAAAGTACTTTTAAAGTCCTTTTCCTCTTAGGTTTCTTGGAAGTGAAAGTAAGTCTAAATTAAAAGGTCTAAGTTCTGGTTTGGCCTTCAAATATAGACTCTACTGTGTGATCACACACAAGTAATTTATTATCTATCATGATAATAACCAGATTATGACTCACTGAACTATTTTATTTTTTATTTTATTTTATTGGTACCGGGGATCGAACTCGGGACCTTGTGCTTGCAAGGCAGGTGCTGGAACCACAGAGCTAAATCCCCGGCCCTCACTGAACTTCTTTTTTTTTGGGGGGGGGTACCAGGGATCGAACTCGGGACCTTGCGTTTGCAACACAGGCACTGGAACCACTGAGCTAAATCCCCGGCCCCCTCACTGAACTATTTTGATGATGAAATATAACACATGCCAAATTGCTTTAAAGATTAAGTTCTATTGGGAAGAGCTAATTTCCTAGAGGACAAGAAGAGCAAATGACCATTTGATAACTTTGCCTATGATTTAGAAAATGAGCCGTAGATCAAAAAACTCAATAATGCAAACAGACTGAGAAAGGGTTCCTATAAATAACCCTTTGATGACTAATAATACAGTACATGTTATGGCAAAATAAAGTGGTTTAAGAGAAGCAACAAAGTATTCACATAGGTGAACATCTTCTGGGAAGCTCAGGGTTGGGAAGGAGACAGACCCTATACTCTGACAATCAAAATCAATCTTACGTTTTTTGGCCACAGGTTTGAGATGGTATGTTTAGGAAAAGTGGATACAGAAATATTTTCAGTACATTCCACTTCCTGGACAGTCTCCTGTTAGAACAGAAATTCATAATGGTGCCCTATATGGGCAAATGAAAATAAGACATTTGATTGCCTGGACAGACTGGCACTTGTATACTAGTCCTTGGGGCTTCAAACCCTGAGACCAGATTTTGCTATGTTGCCCAGGTTGGGCTCAAGTGACCCACCTTCCTCAGCTCCCCAAGTAGCTGGGACTGCACAAACACACCACAGTGCCTGGCTCTGAGTACATCTAGTGGCACTGGCAAGCATCTAGCAATATCTTGAAAATAAGAATTTTGTGTCCCACAGTCTTGCCATTCTGTACCTCACCATTCCATACTGTACCCTAACAAGAGGGTAAAAACTTGTTCCTTGCTAGATCTACTGGGATGCTTCAGAATCATATACAAATGATGTGCAAGCCCGGCTGGTAGGAGTCTAGTGCAGAAGAACCTATGAACTGATCTGGCAACACTTATGTCTTATGTATACATCAGTGTATTTACTAAGCTATTAAGAAATATGGGGCCAGGCATGGTGGCACACACCTATAATCCCAGCACTTGGGAAGCTAAGGCCAGCCTGGGCTACACAGGTCAAGGACAGCCTGTACTAAAAGGGAGACTGTCTCAAAGAAACATGGGGTATAACATCCCTTTAGTGAATCTAAATTCTACTTTAAGTGCTTTAAAATATCATACATTCTATTATTCCTGTTGTTGTTCTGTGAGATTTTTAGGCTACTCTCCTCTTGGCCAGAGTAGGTTTCTCTGGTTACTTAACTGAAGATACAGCTGATGGAGGTGGCAGAGACTATGAATATATATTTCATTTAGTGTGCAGCTGATTAAAAAGGATATAAGTACATGAAGCTCAATCTGTCTCCACTCACTTGAGAGAAGAAAAAACTTAGAAAAACAGATGGGGAATAAGTATAATACAAGTTGAGCATCCCTAATCTGAAAAATCTGAAACTTTTTGAGCATCATGTCAGTACTCAAAAGGTTTCAAATGTCAGAGCATTTTGGGTTTTCAGATTACACAAGTTCAATAGTTAAGTCTATGCAAACATTCCTAAATCTGAAAAATTCCAAATCTTGAACACTTTTGATCTGAGCATTTTGGGTTAAGTGCTACTTAACCTGTGTAAGTCAAATCCCGTTGGTAATAACAAATAGAATAACAGTACAATGAAAATTCTCTATATAACAAAAAGATTTCTGTATCTTGAATCTCAACTCATTCTAACAACCCTAACAATGGACAACTAAAGGAATTTCTAGTTCTTTGCTCTAAGATTTGACTTGTTTAGAAATCACAGCTGTATCAAGAGCAAAGATTGGAAGGCACCGAGTTACTGGAAGAGCTTCCTAGTAACCCTCTACAGAGGCCAGTTCAATCTTAGATTTGCCTACAACCAACTAACATGTTTGTGGTTACCAACAATAATTCCAGATTGACAAGGTAAACTGTAGAGCCAGAGAGAAATTTTTTTTTTTTTTTTGGTACCAGGGATCAAACTCGGATCCTTCCGCTTGCAAGGCAGGCGGCGGAACCACTGAGCTAAAATCCCCAGCCCCTTGGGAGAAATTTTTGTGATGTAACTTTTCAAAAAAGATTGTTCAAATCACGATATTTCAGAGTGGAGTCAGTCTCATAGGCCATAACCAGTGTACAGCCCAGGAGAAATGGAAAGATGGTGGGAAAACTAAACCTCTTTCCTCTGTAATAAATTATGCTCTCTGCCCTCAATCTCTTAAGATGTGGGAAAGGTTTGTATTTGTTTTTTCTAGGCTAATAAACAATACAAATTCTATATGCTTAGATTACCTTATTTCTGTAAATAAAAGTATAAAAAAATACCCTTTGTTTCAATTTAACTCAACTTTTTTTTTTTTTTTGGTACCAGGGATCGAACTCAGGTCCTTGCACTTGCGCAGCAGGTGGTGAAACCAGAGTTAAATCCCCTGCCTCTCAACTTTATTCTTTAAAAAAGACCTTGTCCCCACATTTTAAGTTACGGTCGAGGCTGCAGGTAAAGTCAAGACTTGGTTTTCAGGACAGTGGTAAATGACAAGGCCTCTGAACAAATCATACAGCAACAAAGAAACTAGGATTCAAAGAAGTGGGAACCCTAAACAAAACTCAAAACCTTTGGATAGAATCAGACCAATCTGAGCTATACCTTGTCTTTTGGTTTCTATCGTTATTTTGAACTATTATAATTTTTTTTGAGACAGGGTCTTGCTATGTAGTTAAGGTTGGCCTTGAGATTATGTATCCCAGGATGGTCTCCAACTGTGATCCTCCAGCCTCAGCCTCCCCAGTGCTAGGATTACAGGCCCGCATCACCTTGCTCAGCTTGAACTATTCAAATCTGATAAAGAACCTGACAGATCAAAGCATCAGTACCATGTGACTTCTTCAGCTATCTATGCACAGCTTATCAATAGAAAAAAGCTCCATTTCTCACAGAAGTTATTTTTTTCTGAACACTTCTGGATTCTCTCACTTCATCCTGAAAACCACACTATGAGGTGTTCTCACTTCCTTTTAGAGATGAAGAAACAGGCTGAGATGTTAAAGGTTAAGCAACTGATCAGACAGCCAGTAAGTGGCAGAGCTAGGATGTGGAACCTAACCTCTTTACATCATGGTCTCTCTTGTAGTCCTCCTTTCACTCAGCCCTGTCATAATGTTACCCTGATTCTCATCTCTCACAAAGAAGCAAATAAGTAACCTTGTAACTTGTCACCCAAGTGGTTAATACATCCTGAGGTAAGCAATTAAAAGCAGTGAGCTTTAGGGCTGGGGATTTAGCTCAGTGGTTCCGGTGCCTGCCTCGAAAGCACAAGTTTGATCCCCGGTACCAAAAAAAAAAAACAAAAGCAGTGAGCTTTATAAATACATACACACATACACACATACATACATACATACATACAGTAAGCTTGCTCTTCACTTAATCCATAGGGTTTTTTTTTTGAAACCTCTAGGTACTAACTCAATGACACCTTCAGTATCAAAAACTTTTATCCTAAATCTCTGCTCCTCAGTATTAAAACAAAGCCAAAAGGATAGATGCTCCTTGTCATGGGTTCATTCTAACCTTTGACAAAACAATTCTTTTATCCTCTACTCTCTGAATTATTAAATTTGTTAGGAGTTTTAAAGGTAACAGCCTGAGCAATAACCCTCATAATGCTGTTTCCAAGATAAAATGTGGTAGAAGTGTTATATGTAATATATAACCATACTTAATAAAAAAAGGCTTTGACTTAATGATTTAACCTAACTACAAATAACTAAACTTTTCTACAGCTAAACAATGTTTTACAAATTTTTTTTCTTTTCTGACACAGGCTTGCTATGTAGCCCAAACTGGCCTCAAACTTGTAGCAATCCTCCCAAGTGCTGAGATTATAAGCATGAGTCAACACCTGTTCTCAATGCCTTATATATTTCCATTAGAACATTTCCAAGCATTTTGTATTTTCTTTTGGTCCTGGGGAATGAACTAAGGGCCTTGCACATCCTAGGCATGTGCTCTTCCAGTATTTTTTTTTTTTAAGAAAGGGAATTAGGCATTTATTTCCAAACTTTGATTTAAAAAATTCATGATTTAAAAAAACTGGAGTTGAGACTGGGGATGTAGCTCAGTGGCGCCACATCTGCTTGGCAAGGGCAAGGTCCTGAGTTCAATTTCGGCTAAGTGTGTGTGGGAGACCTGGAGTGGAGGCTGGGCACGATGGGGAATGCCTGTAATCCCAGAAGGATCAAGGAAGTTCAAAAGCAACATAGTGAGACCCTGTCTCAAAACAAAAAAAACCCCCTGAAGTCATAACCATTTAAAAATGTAAATAAATCAGTATGTTTTAAAATAATTAAATGCAAGGCACAATATATCTGCAAACTGCCAGGTCTACAGTATTTATTTAGCTTTTGTTTGGTCCTGGAGGGGTCTGTATTTTGTTTAGTGATAGAACTAGTCAAGCCAACCTAGATTTATTTCACAGTATGTGTGACAGTGACCGACATAACTTCATAAATTTCTCTATCAATAAATTGGGCATAAAGCACCTACCTCAGCAGGTAATGAATGAGAATGAGGTAATAAACACTGAACTTTCAGTACAGTGCCTAACAAAAGGTAATCCTTGAACCAAGAGGCTATTGATTACCTGGAGAAACTTGGGATTTTCTTAGTATATATCTAGTAAAATCCCATTTACACATTAAACTATATAAATCATTTGAATGTTTAAAAGGGACTCAAAAATCCTATAAAAGCAGATCTACAGAGTAAAATTAAGTTCCCACAATTTAAACTGGACATGGTGGCACTGTAATCCCAATAGTTGGGAGGCTGAGGTAGGAGGATCACTGGGACTTCAAGGTCAGCCTAGGCTACATAAGGAATTCAAGGTAGCCTGAACTACATAACGAGATGCTGTATCAAACGCACACCCCCCAAAAAAGTTTACACAATTGAACAATTCAAACACTGAAGTGAAGGTTCACCAAACCACTTCAGAGATTAGGCTCTGAAATTTCTTTGAATAGGGTAACTACTTCTCTATGTGCATTTCCATTAAATGAACTGAGGAAGTTTTATTCACAAATGAATACATATTACTTTTATTAGCAGTGTTACTGTGGTTTTGCGACTGAAGGGTATGGCCTTAGTTTTGAAGAGGATCTTGTCTCTTGATAGGCTTATGTTACTAAGTCTACAATCCTGTTTTTAAATGACACTTGCTCCCCTCCAAAAAGGGGCCACGAAGGGTAGGTGGAACTGAATGCTTCCAAACTTTTCATGAGTGAAGAGTGTGTTCAAAAACGTGTGTAGATGCTATGCATACATGTACTTTCCCATCACATTTCAGGATTCCCAGTTGGAGGGAATCAGTTACTGGTATTTGTAGGGTGGAAAAGATGGCTTCAGTCGATTTGAGTTACTCCAGTTTTCTCCATCTTCTTCTACTCTGAAGCCCCATCTCAGCCTGTCCTCCCCTTACTAACATGACACCCTACTTCCCCCCAAGCCCCTTCCCTAGTCCTGCTCAGGGTCTCCCATCTATGCTGTCTTCTCCAGCCTGGCCCGCTCCCACCCTTCCAATTACAGAGACACAAACTCTTCCTATTTCTTATCTCGCCCACTTTCTGGAACTCCTCCATCTGCTTCCCCACTTTCCTCCAATCCCCTCCCAACTACCCCTAGACTTTTGCTGGAACCATTTACCAATGTTTTGCCCCTTAACCTACCTCCCAAGAAAACTATTCTCTTCCCTCTTATTCCTTAAACCTCCTCCCTCCACTCTTCCCACCGTAATGGTTGTTCCAAATCATTCTCCCTCCTCCCAAAGACTCTTTAAACGGCCTTTCTTCTATCACCCTTAGAATCCAAACTGTCCCCAGTCCCCAAGTACTTCGTTCCTCCAGGACCCCACCCCACGCATCTCTAGGCTTTATGCCACCCACAAAAGCTGGGCTCACTCTCCAACCACCCTCCAAATCATTTCTCCTAACAACAGTATGCCCCCAAACTCCCGTGATTTAAAATAAAATGTCCCCTAGAACAAACCTCGCAGTTCAAACACCCCCCACCCCGACCCCAAGAGGTCCTCTTCTGCTATTCCCGCTACTTTCTGGGTGCCAGTACCACTCCACTCCCGCAAGCCTCGCAGGCTGGGCTCCCTCCCAACCCCGGGAAGAACCCCTTCCCGCACATACCTTGAGGTTCCGGCCCGCGCCGCCCCCTTCTCCGTCCTCTGCCCGCGCTCAGACACCCTTTCCTCCCTTCGCCAGCTCCGCTCGCTCGGCCTCTGCCTTCCCTCCGCCTCCCGCGCCCACATCGCTCCCTTCCCTCACGTTTCTCGGCCCTCCCAACTGGAGGACCCCCGTGAGCTCGCCCCCACCTCTGAGCGGCCCTCCCCGCTGCCCTCCCCCTGCCCGGCCACCCCTCCCCCGCCCTGCCGCTCTCCGCCCCTCGGCTCGCCATTCTTCTCCCCGAGTCGCGCGCACCGCCCGACCCCAGCTCCCTAGCTTCCCGCTCCCTCGCCCCCATCCCCGACTCAGACCTCGCTCCCCGCGGCCTCCCGTGTCCCCCACCCACGGCCTGACCTGCAATGGCGGCCGCCGAGCGCGGCGCCGCGCGGCCAACGGGCGACAACCGAACCTCCCGCCGCCGTCGCCGCCGCCGCGAGCACTGCCTGCGCACTTCCGTCCTCGCTCCACGAGTACTTCCGGGGCAGGGCTGGAGAGTGCGCGCGCGCACGTGGGGCCGGGGCGGAGAGAGGCGAGCTCCGGGGCAGGCAGGCGGAGGGCCTCAGGTGAGTTGGGGAAGGGTCGTGGGAAGCAAGTGCGGGAGCCGAGGGTGAAGAGGTTCCGCCAGCTCGGGGTCAGAGCCCCGCGGAGTTTGCCAGGTCCCTCCCGAGCTGAGTGGATGCTGCTCCGTAGACCTTGGGAAAGGGAAGGGGTGGCGAAGACCTCGCGTGGGATCTTCATGCGCTTGCCCGACCGGGCCGAATGCGCCTACTCTGACCGTGGATTCTTAACCTTGAAGGTAAACGAGGGGCAATCCAGAGTCCTGTCGCTTCCTACCCTTGAGCTCGTTTGCCTTGCCCCATCAGCCCCACGTCGCTACCAGTGATTTGCAAACTTAGCATTTTTTAGAGTTGGGGAGCGATGCTTGCTAAAATGCAGATTTCTACACCCCACCTGATCCCCAATAGGTTAGGGTTCTACAGCTGTGGAATGGGGCCCTTTGGAGGATTTTTGCTGAAATATCTTTTTAAAACCAACCTGAGCGTCTGAAGATTGATGAGTTCTTGTGTGAGACATGAAAACGTCGTTAATTAGGAATGAACTTCAGTGAGATATAGTTGAAATTTTCCATGTCGAACAACAGTAATATTACATGTAACCCCCCAGTTAATCTAACAATAATGTATGTTTTTTTTTCTCCCTCTAGGAATGGGTGAATTCAAAGTCCATCGAGTACGTTTCTTTAATTATGTCCCACCAGGGATTCGCTGTGTGGCTTACAATAACCAGTCAAATAGATTGGCTGTTTCACGGACAGATGGCACTGTGGAAATTTATAATTTGTCAGCAAACTACTTTCAGGAGAAAGTAAGTCATTTGGGAGCCTGATGTGGCATTTCTGATGTTAATTTTCTGCTCAAGGTCAATTTTACAACTTGTATGTCTTACAAAGAGATCAAATGACTTTATCTTTTGTGGGGTTAAAACTATATAAGATTTCTTGTCAGACTGATGAGAGAAAGAGTTTTGACCTGTGTGATGTTAGTTAGAAAGATCCTACCTAGGAATTTTGGTGTGTCACTCCTTGTTATTTGGAAACAGGTTTGCTGGGTCTTTTGGCCACAACAAGAAGAAAAGTTGTTAAGATCAATGCAGTTTTGGTAAGGCACCATTTCCTGCTGAGTGTGTCAGTACCCCTTTCATTGTCAATTCAGAAAAGATGAAACATTTTCATCAGAAATTCTTTGGTGACATGATGGCAGGAAGGTGGATTCTTAAGTTTATTTGTCTGAGAGAATGTAGATTTAGATGCCTGTATTTGGAAGTAAAGGAGATTTTTTTAAATTAGGTAACACATCCTTTGGATGTACACAAAAGGCTGTTAGGCAGCACTTATGTTTCCAGTTGAATAAGTGGCAAAAACTGGGCAGTAAGACAAATATTAGAGGTTCTACTTTCAGGGTACTCGAAGACCAATAGGGGGAAGATCAGTATATAGTTTCTGACCAACATGGTGAAGCAGAGCATAGCATAGCACCTTAGTAGAGAAGTATCTTACTCTGAGAAAGTGCTTTAGGAAGCCTAGAAAGGGAAGACTTCTTTTTTTGGGGGGGGGGACGACTTCTTGAACTAACTCCTAGTAGAAGCATAAAAATTTCAAGTCATTGCCAACCACAAATGGGTCATTCACCTTTTGTAGTATGGAAAAACATGCTCTGGTGCACGCTTGTTGCATCCTCTGATTTTTCTGTTTGTCATTTATAAGAGTTGTAATTATATTTTGTGTATTTGTTTAATGTCTTTCTTCCTCACTAAACTTCAAATTTGTGAGAACAGGAGCCATGTCAGTGATGTTCATGATTGTGTTAGTCCCACCATTTAGCAAATGCCTAGTACAAAGCTCTTGCTGAGTTAACATTTGTTGACTAATAAATCAACCTTTTCTTACCCAGTCTCCCTTATTTTCTTTTCTCTTTCTCACCTTCAACCATTCACTCAGTCTAGTTTTCTGCTTTCTCCATATTCCCTTCTCTACTAGTTAAGATTGCTTACCCTGGTTAATCACTCTCAGAGCAAGTCAAAAAAAAGAAAAGAATGGAGACCAGGAGTAAAAAGACCTAGTTTTTTTCAGGCCTTTGACTTTGGCTCTTTGGCCAGGCCACTTCACATTTACGTGTTTAGGCCTTTTCAAGTTCAGGTAAGGAAAATTACACCTAGTTAGTCCCTTTTGCATCACGCATGGGTAAGATTAAAATGCCTTGGTAGGTATGAAAACTTTTTGTTTGTTTGTTTGGGGTTTTTTTGTTTTTTTGATACTGGGGATCGAACTCGGGTCCTTGTGCTTTCGAGGCAGGCGGCAGAACCACTGAGCTAAATCCCCGGCTGTGAAAATTTTTTTGAATGCTCAGAAAGCTCTTAGAAATCTCAGACTTGAGCAAAAAACTGGAATGAGCTACATTATTTTATTTTGTAAATAGCTCTTTACAGGTAAAATTGACAGCAAGGCCGCCAGGGATTTAGCTCAGTGGTTCTGCTGCCTGCCCCCGAAAGCACAAGGACCTGAGTTTGATCCCTGGTACTAAAAAAACCAAAAAATTGACACAGTAAGCTGTAGGTATTTAAAGTACAGTGTACACATTGGTAACATTCAGCATATACAGTGCTGTAGCTCTTCAGGATCCTTTTTTTTTTTTTTTTTTTTGGTACCGGGGATTGAACTTGGGTCCTCATGCTTGTGCAGCAGGCAGCAAAACCACTGAGCTAAATCCCCGGCCCCAATGCTGTATCTCTTTTTTTTAAAATTTTTTTTCTGTATCTCTTAATAGTGACAGTATTCTTAATAATTTTGAGAACTGCATCATTAGTCAATTTAGTTGTTATAGAGTATACTTACATCCAGATGGTGTAGCCTTACACCTAGGCTATATAATTGTACAGTATGTTACCATATTAAATATGTAAGCAAATATTTGTGTATTCAAACATAGGTACAGTATAAAAGATAAAGATGTACACTTGTCTAGGGCAGTTACTATGAGTGGAGCTTGCAGAAGTGGATGTTGCTCTGAGACAGTGAGTGGTGAGTGAATATGAAGGCCCAGGACATGACTACACTACTATAGACTTTATTAGCACCATGTACTTAGGCCACATGGAATTGATTGAGACAAGGTCTCACTGTGTCATTCAGGCTGAACTCACTATGTAGCCCAGGCTGACCTCGGACTTACAGAGATCCTCCTGCCTCAGCCTCCTGTGTGCTGGGATTGTAAGCATGCACCACCACGCCAAGCTCACATGGAATTTATTTAAAAACTCTTCAGTAATAAATTAACTTTAGCTTACTGTAATTTTTTTTATAAACTTAAAATATTTTAACTTTGACCCTTGTAATAGCTTAACACACATTGTACAGGTGTAGATTTTTTTCTCTTTTTTTTAGTATATATTTGCAGTACATAATAAACACATTTATTGTGGGGACTTGGTACATAAACATAGTACGTCTAGATCCTTTTCACTTCCTCTTTTTCTCCTCACTCTCCAGTCTCCCTTATCCCCAAATCCCCTTCCCAACTCTACATAATCTATCTCCCTATTTCCTGTCATCTGTTGATATTTTCTTTATGTCCTTATTCTTTCTAAATTAAAAAATTTTTTGTTAAAAATTATGACACCCATAGTTTAGTATGTTTGTGACTGCCTAATTAATAACACAAAAACCCCTAGAACATATGGATATTTGTATATATATACAAATGTATGTATTTGTACAGTGTATATATGTATAGTGAAACCATCACCCAGTGAAGATAGTTGTCTTAATTTTTAGAAAACTGGATTATCAAATACAGTTGGATACATCAAACCAAACTGGAATATACATTCTGCTGAAGAGGTTTTACTGAATTGGCTCTAGTTTAAAAAACAGAAACAAAAACCGGATCCAACTGTACAAGTAAACTACAATAATTTTTTTTTTTTTGGTACCAGGGATTGAACTCTGGCCCTTCCACTTGTGAGGCAGGCAGCAGAACCACTGACCTAAATCCCCAGCCCCCAACTACAATAATCTTAAGTAAAATTTGAACATCTAAAAAGTGAAAATGTCAACATGATCTTGTGAGAGCCCAAAACCCCACAATAGTTGAGAAAATAATTGTTACTGAATTAAGTACCTGTGATTGGTCAGTGCTGGTGGCTTCATGGCAGGTTGAGAACCTACACTGTTTCTGTAGTTTTTCCCAGGTCATGAATCTCGTGCTACAGAAGCTCTGTGTTGGGCAGAAGGGCAGCGACTCTTTAGTGCTGGACTCAATGGAGAAATTCTTGAGTATGACTTACAGGCATTAAACATCAAATATGCTATGGATGCCTTTGGCGGACCCATTTGGAGTATGATTGCCAGCCCCAGTGGCTCTCAACTTTTGGTCAGTAAGCAATTATTGGTAATTCATATTGAGATTTTTCTTGTGCCCATTTTCTCCCCGGTATTTATAAGAAGAGTAAAATTTTATTATGGCATGTAGCAACTCCAGTCTATGAATCTCAGTAACTCCAACTTTAAAATTGGA